CCTCTCTAACATATGACATATGCAATAGATGCCTTGTACCTTCCACTGTCTGGTATTTAAGGAAAGTTGGGTAATCTACTTCCATAGTGATACTGCCTGGGAAGCCCAAGGAGGGGTCGCTATGAGTTGGAGATGACTCAACGGCAGTGAGTTTGGTTTTTTTTTTTTTTGGTTTTGATTACCATTAAGCCAGAGGCTCTGGTAGTGTAGTGCCTAAGGCACTTGACTGCTAACCAGAAGGCTGACGGTTCAAACCCACTAGCCACTCCTCGGAAGGAAGATGGGCAATCTACTTTAGTAGTGATACAGCCTTGGAAACCCAAGGAGGGGTCGCTTAGTCAGGTGGGACTCGATGGCACATAACAACATTAAGCCAGACACCACCACCGGCCCAAGCGATTTGTGCACTTTACCAAAGAACGCAGCATTTGTAGGTAAATTACGTCCCGTGCTACCTCCTCCTCCTTCCCACCGTTTTATAGTTTTAACCTCACGGGATAGTTTTGCAGAATAAATGACATGAAGCGCTTAGCACAGAGCCTGACACGAAATGTTTGATATAAATCATTATTACTATTAATTGTTGCCTGTGTCCTTGGAGTGTCCTCTGAGGCACACGTGTGCACCGCCCCCCACGTGTGGGCCCGGGTGCAAGCCCACCCACGGGGATGTGGGCGTGCCCCCCGCATGTCCTCCACTGCAGGGCCTTTTTCCAGGGGAGGAAGGGGCTGCGGCGGGGGCCTAAGCCACCTCCCCGGCCATTCAGTCGCACTCTGGATTCCACGTTTCCCTTTTTTCCCCTTTGGCCGGGACCCAGCCCATCTGGAGGCCGGCTCGGCGGCGGCCTGGGAGTTTTTCCATCAGCTGGGCCCGAGGAATGCGGAGCTATTTAACCTGAGCATCCCCAGGTGTACGGAGGCGCCGCGATGTCTGGGGCCCGCCGCCTTTGGCACGGCCGCGCTAGACAAACAGCGTGCCGCCCCCGCCCTGCCCCTCCGCCCGCAGCTGCAGCCGGGCCTGGGAACGGGCGGGCGCCCGCGGCTTGCACAAGAGGCTCCCGAGGGAGGGAGGAAAAGAGGCTGTGTGTATGTGTGTGTGTGTGTGTATGTGTGTGTGTGAGACAAAACCCTGTTCCTTTCAACCGCTGCTTGGGAAATCATTAAGGCTTTACCCCCTCCTGGACAGGGTGCTTCCAGGCCTGGGGCGCAGGACCCAGAAAAACACTGAGAACAAGTTTTTGGATCACTGGACTCTGCCTCTCCAGGACTCCTGGGCCTGGAACTTGAGTATTTTTCATTTTCTTTAAGGAGCATTTATACAGCGCTGTTGTGTGCCTTTACTAACCTCCTTAAAATATCAATCCATTTACTTCTCTTCACAGCCTTATGGGAACGCTGTTATTATATGTAATTTTAATAATGATAAGCTAACATTTTAGTAGGGAGTCTGCTAGAATACAGTTGCTGAGTCAGCCTTCTCCTTGGTAACTTCACAGAGCCACAATTTTCTCATCTGGAAAATGGGTTTCAGAATAAAGTCAACCTTGTCCTCAACCAATGGACATAAATAATTTAGCACTATGACAAGCTCCTAGGAGCTCTGGTAGCACAGTGCCTAAGGCACCTAACTGCTAACTAGAAGGCAGGGGGTTCAAACCCACCAGCCACTCCTCAGAAGAAAGGTTGGGCAATCTACTTCTGTAGTGATACTGCCTCGGAAACCCAAGCAGGGGTCCCTATGAGTCGGGTCCCACTCGACGGCAAACAACAACATGACAACCTCGTAGTAGACACTTAAACCAAATCAAACTCACTGCCACCAAGTAGATTCCAAATCATAACGACCCCTCTTGGGTTTCAAATGCTGCAAATTGGGTTTCCAAGGCTGTACATCTTCATGGACTGCCTCATTGTTCTTCCACAGAGCAGATGGTAGGTTCAAACCGCTTACCTTTTGGTTAGCAGCCAAATGCCTTAACCATTACCCCACCAGAGCTCCTTAGGTAAGTGTAAAACATTTTGGGCCCTTACTAAAGTGATTGTCTCAATAGCCCTTTGAGGTGAGTGGGCCCCATTGCTACTCCCACTTATCAGATTAGAAAAGGGAGGCATCGGAGAGGTGATGTGACCCATCTAAGAACACACCGGGGCAGTGCCAGATCAGGCTCTTGTTCCCACAGAATGTCCAGTGAGTTGTCACCCTGTCTACAACAGGCATCACACCCGAGATACTCACCAGCAGGTAATGCTGGTAGGTTTCACTTAAGTTTCTAAACTAAGATTAGGAAGAAAAGCCTGGTGACCTACTTCCAAAAACTAGCCATTGAAAACCATACGGGTCACAACAGAACACTGTCCAGCTCGCTAGCTGTGGACATGTCATCCGGAGGACATCATGTCTGGAGAAGCAGGGGCCACCAAGGGCAAGAGACTCCCAGCCAGATGGAGTGGCCCAACAGCTAGCTGTTAACAATGGACTAGATCATGCTGGTAACTGTCAGGATGACAGAGGACCACGCAGCCCTTCCTTCTGTTGTATCTAAGGACACTATGAGTTGGAGTCAACTACACACACACACACGCATACACACACATATATGTATGTGTAATATATATACATACACACACATATATAAACACATGTGTATAGGGGTAAACACACCTATATGTAAATGTGTGTGTTTGTGTGTGTATATATATATATATATATATGTGTGTGTATATATACCAAAAATCCACTGCCATCGACTAAATTCCAGCTCATATTGATACTGTAGAACAGAATAGAACTGCCCCCCAGGGTTTCCAAGGCTGTAAATCTTTACAGAAGCAGACTGCCTCATCTTTCTCCCAT